ATTTTGGACAAATTCCTTCCAAGGTGGAATGACGAAACTGTGACAAGGCTCATATTCTTTGCCCTTGCTCTTGGATGCATTTTCTCTTTTTTTCTCTTTCTTCACCTTTCAAACTTTCTGATGGTGGTACATCATATCTATCTCCCACAAAGTTAATACAGTCACAAAATTCCGGGCCATGCTAATTAATTTCTTTATGTATTTTTCCTGTAACTCACCAAAGGTATTACATCCAAGATGTTGGTAGCATTGGACGAAAGTCATTGCATCAACAACCAAAACAGTTGGTTCATCAGCTTTATTACTTTTTCGCATGGCATAACCTTGTGATAGACTTGCCTCTGGTTCAAATAAAGATGCTGGATATTTGGTCCACTCATAACTCAGAATCTCTTTCTTCTTTTCTTCATCTAGTTCCTGCACGAAATACAGATTTCTGATTACTGAACTTTCCTCTTCATATATCTTCTTTGCTTTCTCTGCATCCGTTTTTTCTTAACCTTTGTGGCAAATGTCTGCAGTTTCACTATTTCTATTTTGTCACTACCCTTATCTTGTGCTGCAGCTATGGCTTGAAGACCCCTTTCCTTTGCCTTTACCAGATCACAGGAAATAGCTTTCTCTCCAGTAGAAATCAAGTTAATCAAGTCAGTTGAATCACAAGTGAAAGGATTGATCAACTTTTCATCAATGACCCGAAAAACACTTTTAGTAGCCTCGTATTCCTTTCATGATAATTGTTCTGAATCTTCATGGTGTTTTTTATGGTCTTGATCCATGTGTGTCATCAGCTTTGTCTTTTCGGAAATTGCTGTCATCATTGGCAAGACTCTCAAATATTTTTCCATTGCAGCAATATTTTGTGTTATTCCATGGAATAGACTGGTTTTTGCCTCACAGTTGTATGTCTGCTCAAGTCCCATGACTGTCCAAACACCATTGAACCGACCCTGCTTTCTTCGCACTGTGAACTTTCCATCCATAAAAGCCTGCTGAACATCAGGTGCAGTTATTGATAGGCTCTTCATTGCTGACAGATAGTGGGGGAGACACATAATTGTGGTGTCCTGCAGCCACTAGATACGGTAGCATATTCTCAGTCTCAGAGATATGGATATCCCATAGACCAGCCCGTTCAGCTTGAATGTATTGCTTCAAAATCATCACCATATCCATGTACATTAGTCACAGTTGGACTAGTTGGTGATGTGCATCTTGAACTGTTGAACTCATTTAACAACTGTTTCACGGCTTCTAATGGTTCTGTTGTGGCATTCAAGCAGTCACTTGATACATGTCTTATATCATTATCAGAGAGTGCTTCAGACACTTGCTGTACACTGTGTGATAAAGTAGCAATTTCATCTAGCCCCTTATTCTCTTCTATTAGCCAATGTTCGAATGCTTCCCAATGTAGGTGGAACATTGCAGCATGAACCAAGTTGCGTGCTCGTAGCATACCATAGTAGTCTTTCCCTGACATTATTTTATTCGCTGTACCACGTAGACAAATTCCAGCATCAACCAAGATATCTTCAATTCCACTATTCTTCATAACAAAAACAATGGCACCCATGAAGTTTGTGGCAATGTGGAATCCACCCATTCGTATGACAAGTTTACTATATTTGTCCTTATGTTTTCTTTGCAGAGCTAGGGCAATTT